CAGCCCACCCGTTTGAACTAATAAAGTGCCAGGGGCCTAAGTGGTCACCTAAATATTAAAAAAAAAATAATAATAATAATAAATAAATTAAATATTTACTATTCAATATGTTCTAAATATCCTACCTAATTGTCATCAAATATCTTTGGGACTGATTTGTTGTCAAATTGATTTTCTAAAAAGCCATGATTAATTAAAATTACAAAAAAAAGTATTGATTTTCAAATTTATACCTTTTTAGTGTCATAATGCCTCACCAAAGTGCCAAATCTAGTATTGCATCTAACAAGGCCTGTAATAAAGATAGTACTTTTGTAGCTGATCCTAAAGTTATGAATAATATAGAAGAAAACATAGAAACTCTGGAAGACTGGGAGTTATTTGAAATAACACATGACAGCTTTCAAGATTATGTATTAAAAGCTATAGAATGGTATTAAAAAATTGAAACCCACTTTTTATACTAGTACACAATTAATGCTTATAAGTTATTTTAAATACCAGCATACATAAAAAACTATCTTGGCATACTTCAGCATTGATTTTTGATATGAAACCACTGAGCTACCTCAGCAGTTTTATATCAAAAATCAATGCCGAAGTATGCCGAAATGGTTTCTTTTTTCTAATAAATTATAATATAATTTTAGGAAACTCAAGAACAAAAAAGAAAAGCACAGAAACAACTTCAACACGAGGCTAAACAGATGCGAACTCTCAATGAAATGTGGAGTGTAAAGACACGAGATAAAGGAAAAGCACCAGCCCTATCATACCATGAAGATATTTTAGCCCAATCTAAACGGCAAATGCAACGAATAAAGGAGCATTATAATGAATTGAAAAATCAGCTTTGCAAACTACAAAATACAAAAAAAGAATTAGCTAAATCACAACCTTATGAAGTACAAAAGTTAATATCTATTTTTCATTATTTTAGGTTACTACTAGATGGTAAAAAAAAAATAGGGGCTTCAAAAAAAATCGCGGATAATTTATGGAAGGGTATTCAGAATACGGAATATATATCTCATTGTATTAGGGGATAGGTGAAAGACTTTCTTGAACAAGGCACCTTATCTAGTCATCAACAGGGAAAACACGCAAAAAGAGCATCGTTGCTTGATGATGAGGATATCAAACTGGTGGCTCGTACCTGGTTACATTCTATTCCACCAAAGAATCGTTCTCCTTTAGCATTAAAAAAAGAATTGGAAACAAATATCTTTCTAAATTGCTTGGAGTTTCAATCACTATTTCAGAAAGAACCACACTAAAATTTATGCACCTATAGGGTTTCACAAAAAAACTATAGGGCAGCAGGTGTATAATTTTTTTTTTTTTTTTTTTATTATTATTATTATTATTTTTTATAAATTGCTTGACATTTTTTTTTAGGTCTATTTCGATGGTCATAAGCGAGAAGACGTGCAAGAGTATTATAAAGAATAGGCAATAAGAATGATGAACTATCAAAAAAAAAAGGAACAATATGATGGTGATGAAATGAAAAATGCTATACCTCCAGAATGGCTTAAAATTTGGGATATGCGCCATGTTTTGGTTACTCATGATGAAGTTTACTTATCCTTTTGGGTAGAAGATGAAGAGTCCATTATCAAGAAAAAAGGCCAAGGGTTAGCAATTATGGTTAGTGACTTCTTGTGTGCATACTATGGCCCTCTGCGCCTTACAGAGGCTGATGCTACATGACTTGGGTTGGATAGAAGGCTCGAGTTATTATAAAACCAGGACAACATGCTGATGGTTATTGGAAAAGTGAAAATATGGTTAAACAACTTTGTAAAAAAGCAATTCTGATTTTTAATGCACTCCACCCAAGATGCATAGGCATAGTTCAAATTCATCTATTGTTTTTTAATTTTTTTTTTTATTTATCTTTTTTTTTTTTTGAAGGTGTATTTTGCTTTGATTAGAGTACCAACCATAATGCATATGCACTTAATGCACTCATGTGTTCCAGAATGACTCTATATCCAAAAGTTGAGACAAAATTTGAATTTAAAAATGGTTGGTTTATTCGTAATTATGAAAAAATCATACAGCCAATGTTTTTTTTGGATAAAGAGGATGATATTGTAATGTTTAAAGGAATCAAAAAGGTATATGATATAAAGATTTTTTTTTAATAAATATTATTACCTTTTTCTTTTTATATTAGATCCTGGAAGAACAGAATATGTAGACTAGTCAAAGATTGGATTGTCAAAGAAAGGAGGACGATGAAAGGGGTAAAAAAAAAAAATTTGCATTGTAGATGTTTATAATTAATATGTATTTTTTTTTTTTTTTTTTAGTTCCAAATTGTTGTGCAAGATATACACTTATGATGGAACCAGATTTTTTGGAACAGAAATCTTCAATTGCAGAGACTGTTAATGCTGCTAGGCATATTTTTGAATTATACCCAAAATTTTATTGTAAATGCAACTTCATTGAGCATTTTTGGGGCGCTGCTAAACGAATTGCCTGTTAACAATGTGATTATTCTTATACCCAGCTGCAATGCCGTGTACCAGAAATACTCAACAACATACCATTATTTATGATTAGACGATTTAGCCAAAAGGCTTGGAAATATATTGAAGCATACATGACAGGTTTAGAAGAGGAAGATGCAGAGAGGGCTGTGAAACAGTTTAAATTGCATAGGTGACTTCGGGCAGACGATTAAGAGGAACAACCGCCAAAATGTGCAAGAAGAGACCACATGGAGACTTACAAGACGTGTTTTTAATCAATAAACATAATTTTGAGTAGCCTTTGAAAGTTTATAAACCTACTTTACTACAGGTGCAGAATGTTAGTATTCTGAGTATCATTTAAAAAAATATAGCTGCCGCAAAAAAGTTTCTGCCGCAGAGTAAATATGTTAAAAAAGTAAAATGTGAAATGTATTTGCCGCAGAGTAAATGCGTTAAAAAAAAAAAGTGAAATGTATCTGCTACAGAGTGTATGCGTTAGAAAAAAAAAAATGTTCAGGTACATACGTACGCCTTCTAAAAAAAAAAAAAAAAAAAAAAAAAAAAAAGTCACATTTTAATTGGACGCAAGTATATTAAATGATTGATGACAAAAGTGAACAAAGTCATATGATTGGAGGTTTAAAGCTTCCAGCACTATATAACATGTACAGGTAATACCAAAATAATTAATCTAGCAAATTCAATTAGAAACTAGTCTAACAAATATAGACAAATTCAAAAAGAAACTACTATAATAAATATAAATCAACAAATAGGCAAAACTATGAAATTAGATTTAATTAAAGACTTGGCAACAGCATCACAAGAAAGGTACAAGAAATTTATACTGAGCAAAGAAGAATTATACTTAAAGCAGATATAAATATAGCAAAATATTTAGATCTTAAGAACCCAGAATTTGTTACAAAATCTGAAATATAATAGATAGCTATAATTAGTTACAAATAAAAAAAAATCAAGGCAAAACTCTTTTAACAGAAGAACTTGTCTTTCTTGAAGAAGTAACAGAAATATAGTCGACTCCCTCTAAATGCATATTCTCTAAATATAGATCATATTAAATTCTCTTTAAATGCAAGTTTTTTTTTAGTCCCAAGCTATATAAAATTATAATAAACTTATATTCTCTAAATGCAGATTCTCTTTAAATACAGGATTTTTTTTTTACTTAAGAAAATTTTATAGGTCCTGGCGAGCTACACTTAGAGAGAGTGGACTATATCACCTCGTACAAAATTAGAAAGAAAGACACAAGCTTAAACCAACCAAAATGACTACACAAAGATATTTTTTTTTTTTATTCTTTGACAGTCTTGTCGGTGCTCAAATACAAATTATATTACTATTAGATTACAAAACAAAGTTTCAAATTCTAATAATATCTAATTAACAATTGCAAGCCCAACATCACCCGGCTACATCATGTGTGCCCAGATGCGACGTGTCGCACCAACCCGTAAACAAGTTAGATAAACTTTGTCAGCCCGTCAAAGCTTTTCCCTTCATATTCTCTTTCTTTACCAAGAGCAAAAG